TTCACAGTCAGATTCTATAAAAATTAAAAGGTATGCATTAGAGCAGTTCATTTAAATTTAACAGTGATTTTTGATTGGTATAGCTTGAAATTGTCATGTTTCAAAGTTTACTTGTAGCAGTAATTACTTTGCTGCCATATGGAATCTTGTAGAATAATGTACACAACTTTAATTTATATGCATAAATTGCTGCTTTTTGAAAGAATTATTTTCCCTTGAAATTGGCCCCTTTTTTTTGTTGTTCTAGCTATCTCATACTAAAAACTGTGATGATATTCTTCCTTGTTGTTGACTTAAAAATAATAGTCTAGAAAAGTGGCTAGCTAAATTCTAGGAAAACCATCTATGCAAACATAAGTTTCTCTGAGACTATCCCATTTGGAATTAATTGAACAGTACTGAAGAATTTGTGACTTCTAGGAAATATGAGAGGAAGAAAATACTGCAGTTAAATGCTGGGGGTGAGGGTGGAGTTGTAAAAAGATTGGTTTTATTTACATACATCCTTTTTAAATATTAAAACTTGAACTAGCTGTAAGGTGCCTTATTGCTCTTACCTTACCTGTTACCACTTAATAATCTCAAACAAAGGGAAAAATGTTGCCTAATCGCTAATGTGTTTGGAATGATGGAATGAATGCAGGAATATAGGAGGATGTTGCAGCCTTGGGTTGGTAGCCATCTCGTGTGTCGAACAATCACATTTACCTCATTTCTCACAGATACATATCACAGGAATATTTACCATGTGATTGGTGCAGTCCTTCTGGCATTGAAACAGAAGGATTGTGCTGCTTTCTGTGAGTGTAGCTTTGTGCTGGAAGAACTGATTGTCAGGGAAGGGTTAGGCAGCATGCTTACTTGTCCTGCCTACATCTTCGTTTTCGCCTGTGCAGCCTTGCAGGGGACTGGTCCAAGTGGCTCGCTGAGGTTAAGTAACTACTGCTGTGTTGTGGAAACTGAAGTAGTAGCGATGGCACCACGGCAGTGTAAACTCACATCCCCACTGAAAGGAGTGCTTGTCAAGGTGGCTTTGTAGACTGTTTTCTGAACTGGACTTGAGAGTGAATAACTAGAAGGTATCCAGTG